TCTTCTTTGTAATTTGGATCCCTAAATATCGAATTCTCTTTTCCTCTTGGAAGTTCGTCTTCTCTACTAACTTCCGACGTTCTTGTTCTCTTATATTTTTAATAAATATTTTTGTTTTCTTTTGGTTTATTCTCATTCCTGCCATATCACCAAAGTTTTTCAACGTTGCCATCGGGTCTTCTATTGAATGCACTAGATCTTCCAGTATAATGACTAAGTCATCTGCAAAAGCCTGAAGTTTATAGATTTGGCCTTTTACTTTCAATCCTTTCAATTCCTTTTTATCTCTGATTTGTTTGGTTAATATTTCTAGAGTCAAAATAAATAGTAGTGGAGAGAGTGGACACCCCTGTCTGGTACCTTTCTGTATTTGTATTTCTTTTGACAGCTCGCCGTTAATTCTCACTTTTGCCTTTTGTTGATTGTATATTGCTTTAATTAGCTTCAAAAATCTTTTTCCAACTTGCAGTGTTTCCAGCAAATTTAACATAAAATTCCAATCGAGATTATCGAAGGCTTTCTCCGTATCCAAGAATATCATGGCCATCTGTTTCTCTGGGTGTGCTTCATAATATTCCGGGGAGTTTAGGACTATCCTTATATTATTTTTCATCTCCCTTTTTGGAAGAAACCCAGACTGATCTTGATGTATTAACTGAATTACAATTCTTTTCATTCTGGTTGCCAGGATGGTCGCATATATTTTATAATCCACATTCAACAATGAATAACCCGGTGGGGGGGGGTTATGTTTCTCTGCTGGCTATTGGTTTTAAATCAGAAAACTGTTTGCAAAGGTCTGTCTGGCTGTTGGCCTCTAAAATGCATTTTAGTCTTTTGGATGCTTGGTTTAAAATGTGTTGTTGTAAAATGTGTTGGTTTAAAATATGTGGGTTTAGCATGTGTGGCTTTAAAATGTGTTTTAGACTACAAACTCTCTCCCCCCATTGTCTTCTTTCACTCTCTGTCTTCTCTGTTTTTGTGCTTAAAAGCACAAACCTTTCCCTGAGGGTTCTGTGTGCCCCAGCGATGACTTTCTTTCTTTCTTTCTTTCTTTCTTTCTTTCTTTCTTTCTTTCTTTCTTTCTTTCTTTCTTTCTTTCTTTCTTTCTTTCTTTCTCCATTGTTCCTTCCCCCCTCCCCCTCCCTCCTTTCCTGCCCTTGTTTTAACCTAAGTTCATCTTAGGTTAAAAGAAAAAATCTCCCCCAAGTGGTAGAGGGCAGATTAACCAGTTTTGCATTACCGTATTTGCCAGCCTACAAGACGACTGGGCCTATAAGACGACACCCCCCCCCAACATTTCCACTCAAAATATAGAGTGGATGGCTCTGCTGCGGTGCCAGCGGCAGCTGCCCGGGGCTCTGCCCGGGCCCGCCCTGGACATTCATGGCCAGCAAGGAGGAGGGCGAGGAGGGGAAGTGGCCGGCAGCGGAGGAGGAGGGGAAGGGGAAGCAGCTCTTCGGCGGCGCGCAGGCGAGCAGGCAGCTGGCTCAGCTGCAAGGAGGGCGAGGAGGGGAAGCGGCTGGCTCGGTGGCGGCAGAGGAGAGGAAGCAGCTATCCGGTGGCGCGCAGGCAGCTGGCTCAGTGGCGCAGGGTGCCGGGCAGCCCGGTGGTGGGCTCTGGCTGCTCAAGCATGTCTGGCTCTGCTTCCCTCCCTCCATCTGGACCGCCCGCCTGCCTGCCTTCCTTCCTCCCCTGCCAGAGCGGCCCTGTGTCACTCGGCGGCGGCGGCTCCTTCCTGGCGCAACTGAAGCGCATCCAGCGTACAAGACGACCCCCCCACTTGGAGGCATGTTTCTGAGGCCAAAAAAGTCGTCTTGTATGCCGGCAAATACGGTAGTTCCTATGGGAACTAATGCTTCGACTTACAAACCATGCCTTGACATAAGAACAAAAAACAGCCAGAACGGATTAACTGGGCTTCAATGCATTCCTATGGGAAATGCTAATTTGACATATGAACGTTTTGACTTATCAACATCTTCTGGGATGGATTAAGTTCATAAGTCAAGGCGCCTCTGTATAGAAAAAGAATTAGTTATTAATATACACTTTCAAATTACAGAGGAAGATTGATCTTGGCCAACAAAGCTCACAAATATTTTCCCAATTACCATTCTCATACAAAATAAGCAGAGTTATTTCACAGAACAGCAAAAATCCTAAAGAAATTAGACTGCCATAGGTATAAGCATATAAACTGTAGCAGTGAAGGGCCACTAATTCACAAATTGTTGCTTGAACTCTTTCTTGCATGCCAAATTGCATGCCAAATTGCATGACTAGCACCCAGTGAGGAATCTGTTGCAGATTCCGGTATACATCTCCACCAGGTTTCTGGCCAACGGCAACCAGTTTATTAAGTTTAAAATATTCACTTCATCTCAAAAACTTTCTAGAATGAAGTAAAATAACAGCCATGCATAATAATAATCCTGCACTTACCTGAAAATAAAAAAAAGTTAGCCTTTCTCATACATGGGTTTTTCCCCTTTTTCCAGTCACATAATATTAAAAGGTATAGGTACATTTTATACTTTTTAACAATTGGTTTGGCTTAGCGAGAAAAATATCATGCAAAATTATATTCAAGTTCCTTCCATTTCACAAAAATTACCTGGCTTAATGATAGCATTCTCTGACACTACAAATACTGAATGTTTCTCCTTTGGAGGAACGCCAACTTCCCTGTACCGCTGCATTGCAGTTTCACTTTTCTAGAAGAAACACACACATAACAAAAAGGAATTTAGAATTTAGGAATTTAGACCTTGCCATTAAAAATGTTAAATTTTTTAAACAAAATACTGCAGTGGTTGTTGTGGGTTTTTCGGGCTCTTTGGCCGTGTTCTGAAGGTTGTTCTTCCTAATGTTTCGCCAGTCTCTGTGGCCAGCATCTTCAGAGGACAGGAGTAGCAGTCTGTGCTCTGGTGCAGTTTGTTTGGGAGTTGGTTTGATGGCTCTTCAAAGCTTCACAGTTCCGAAGAATTTCTAAACCATCTCAACAGCATCCACCCAAATATACAATTCACCATGGAAAAAGAAATAGAGGGCCAACTCCCATTCTTAGACATCATGGTCGTACACAAAACTGACCTCCTATTGGAACACAAGGTCTACAAAAAACCCACCGGCCACAGAGACTGGTGAAACGTTAGGAAGAACAACCTTCAGAACACCGCCAAAGAGCCCGAAAAACCCACAACAACCATTAGATCCCAGCCATGAAAGCCTTTGCGAATACATAAAATACTGCAGTGTTTAAGGATCTGTTTGAAAATACTAAACATAGCTTTTCTAAAAAAGAACTTAGGCACTACCATTTCTAAAAGTATCACATTATAGCTGTTTACAAGTCTACGCAGAAAGAAGCTTCATTGTTTCAACAGTGTTTGATTTCAGGTGAGTGTGTGTAGGGCTACCATTTTCACATCAGAAAAATCTAGTATGGTTTCTATGCTAAATGGAAGGAAGGATGAAGGTTATTGTGTTTAACTACAACAGACAAGTGTGCAGTTAAGGCATATTTTAAAGACACACTTAAACTAGGCCAAGAGGTACTTTCTTTCTCCATGGATACCTGGGGGTTGACACTCAGTGATGATGATAAGGATTTTGAACATTGACAGTGTTCACCCCAATGATAAGTGAGAATCCTTGTCTTATCTTTGCTTACTGTGAACGAGCCCTGCACTGGTGCACACAATTCATTTGCTCATCCTTTTGATGAACTTAAAGACAGAGACAACTGATCTGTTGCATAAAACCAGACCAATTTAACAAGTAATTTTTTTTTAAAAATATAAGATTTCCTATTTAAAATAAGGTTTGAAATCCTTGTATCGCTTAAGGGTAACAAAGCTGGATCCTGGATTCAAATATCAGAATAAGCTCTCCTTTCCTAATTTACTTTGCAAGTGCAGTCGCTCATTCAAAGTCACCCAGAATTCCCAACTTAATATATGAAAATGTAATTAGTAAATTCTCAGTCCTCCTCTAATGGTACTAACCATGATCCTTCAGGCAAAACCCAACAAGTTAAAGCATACTAACATAATACAGCTACAGCACATGGCACTTTAATGGCTTCAAGGCATTATGCAATGGACTTACCTTAAGATCAGGCTTCCCCCCCCCCCACATTTTCCCTTTCCTACCCACTTATATTTGCAACATCTTGCCTGAAAAATATATTGGCCACCTCAAAGGCATGCATGCTTTCTGTTCCTTTCAATGGGCCTAGTAAAATTATTGTTCCAGTATGGATTTTGGAATTTGATTTATGACCAACGTGGCTTCCTTCAATTTTAACAAGCTAGGAATGGATAAAGATTAGAGATGGGAATGAACTGCTGGTTCAGTGGTTCATATTGGTTTGTTTAGTAGCCAAACAAGTGTTTGGTGCTTCGCAGCCCCACCTCCTGTGGTGGGTGCCCGCTCAGAGGCACTGCCTAGAGAAGGTGGGGCAGGGTAGCCAGGAACTGTATCTGACTGGGCACCTGCCTGAGGGGGGGGCTGCAAAGCACCAACACCTGTTTGGACACTAAATGAGTTGAGCAGTTCACGCCCATCCCTAATAGAGATTAGTAAAGATAACTTCTGTTTTCTATACATGGATGAATTCTACCCACTTAACATACAGAGGAGTTGACTTACCAAATAAATCCCCAATGGTTCAATGCGTCTACCCTAATGTGACCATGTTAAGCAACTGGATTTCAGCCATTATATCTTCCTCTCAAAAACAAAGTATGCCTATTTCACCTTTCCTTCAGGGAGATTGGGCTGTCATTCATGGTCCCTTCTTTCCTGACAATTTCATTATCACAGCTATGTGAATTAGGTCAGTAGAAGCTCACGGTGTCCTTGGCTCAAGGTCATCCGATAAGCATAGCAACTAAGTGGGAATTTCAATCTAGGTTTCCTTCCTTAAAGCATGCACTTTGTCTACTACATGACATTAACGGTGGCCTCATTTATATCTAATGTAAAACCACAGCTTAGCATCAGAAGATCTAGGCTGTGCAAGTCTCTGGCCTTTCTACCACTACCCCATCAAACCACGTCACAGTGAGTTTAGAGGCTATTCCCATTTTTTCACTGAACTGCAGCGAGGCAGTATGTCTGAACCTAGATAAACTACAATCAACATTAGCATCTAGCTCATCTAATAAGGAAGATGAGGAAGGTGCATTCAAACTCGAATCTGGAGGTGCTGGCTCACTACCACTCAAATATAAGGAACTTTTAGAACAAAAGAAATGTGCATTTATGTCAGCTCATTGAGAGAAACTAGGGCAGGCTGTGATGGAAAGGAAAGAGAAAATTCTGGAGTATGGTCTCAGACACGGATATAAGTCCCAATCCTGCACCAAATGCCTGTATCACAGCAAATGCCTGTTGCCACCACTTTCAAATGATTTTCAATAGTGATGCAGATACTGGGCCAAAAAAAGTGAGACCCCCTAGATCCTACTAATTTCCACATCCAAATGGCCCCCAGTATCAGAACAGGAAGTGTGCAAAGTTATTGATGCTCTAGCAACAGACAAAGCACCTGGCGAGGACATGATCCCGCCAGAGGTGTATAAGAACCCAGAATGCTGGGCCCCAGTTTTAGCACAACTCATCTCTCACATTAATGCTACAGAAATTTTCCCTGAGGGGTGGAGCCAGAATATAATTTTCCCAATTTATAAAAAAGGCAATAAATCCATCCCCCAGAACTATCGCCCAATCAGCTTACTGGACATCAGTTCCAAGCTCTATACTTCTTTTCCAGAAGCTGGCTAAATGGATGGAGGAAAATAACATCCTTCACCAGGAACAAGCAGGTTTTAGGAAGGGCCATAGTACAGTAAATCAAATATACACAGTAGATCAAATCTACATCATCTTGTAGGCAAATATACCACCAGGCGAAATGGCTGTTCACAGCTTTTATTGACTTTTCCTCTGCATTTGACACAATCACCAGAAATCACATGTGAGATAAGCTCGCAGAGACTAACATCGATAAGATTCCTAACCCTAATACAGGAACAATATTCCAACAGAAAGTTGAGGGTAAGGATTAGCACAGATGGAAGGCTGACAGAGGAAATTTGTACTAAGGGGTAAAACAACGGTGCTTATTTGCACCCCTACTCTTTAACTTTTATATTAATAATATTGTAACAGCTTTAAACCATCCAGACCATTCCCCCCACAAGCAACCCTGAGTGCTCACTGGAAGGACAGATCCTGAAGCTGAGGCTCCAATACTTTGGCCATCTCATGAGAAGAGAAGACTCCCTGGAAAAGACCCTGAAGTTGGGAGAGTGTGAAGGGAAGAGGAGAAGGGGATGACAGAGGATGGGATGGTAGGACAGTGTCATTGAAGCGACCAACATGAATTTGACCAAACTCTGGGAGGCAGTGGAAGACAGGAGGGCCTGGCGTGCTCTGGTCCATGGGGTC